CAGTCATACAAATGATGCAGATTCATATTCCTACACTCAAATTCTGCAGGAGGAAAGTGTTACCTACTATATCGGTCAGATTGTAAGCTCAGTGCCTACTTACTAACTTGGAAATTCCTTTTGCAGAATATTTCTAGACATTCAGAAATGGTTAAATTCATTAGTAAAATTTATACTATTTAGAACATTAGAACTTAAAATTATAAATTAGAATGTATACTATTTAGAACATTGCTAGCGTCAGTCTTCTGCTTTCTGATGGGTATTATAAGACACGGAAAACCATTTGCTGATGTGAAGAATCTCTGGTTTTGCACAAATAAAACATACATATTAAATAATTGTAAACTATATTAAATATATCAAATAATATTGTATATAAATATATTTAATATAAYAAGTTATATTAAATAATAGGTAAAAGGAAATTCATTTCTAAACAAGGGTTTCCAGTGAAAAAACTATTTAGAAATTTTTACAATTTTTGTTGTTTATTTCACAGAGTCACAGAACCATTGAGGTTGGAAGGGACCTCTAGAGAWCATCTAGTCCAACCCCCTGCTCCAGYAGGGACACCCAGAGCACGGGGCACAGGGTGGCATCCAGGCGGGTTTGGAAGWTCTCCAGAGAAGAGACTCCACAGCCTCCCTGGGCAGCCTGTGCCAGGGCTCCGTTTGATCAGGAATTTATTTATCTACTTGATCAGGAAAAGTCAAAATGCAGGAAATATGGACAGGTTTTTTTTTCCTGAAAATTCTTCTTTAAGGAGAATCTGAGAAGTAAGATTGGTGTGAAGTTTATCACTGATTTCCTTTTTTTTAAGGATAATAAAGGGAAATCAGTGATAAACTTCACACTGATCTTACTCTGGCTTTTGGGTCAAGACTTGAATGTCCGTAGTAGGCAATGATCCATTCAACCCTCAGATTTAAAGCCCTGGCAGAAACACCTTGTGAGAAGTAGCTATCTGCAGAAAAGAGGTTTTATGAGAATGATAAAAAGCTGAATGTGTGTCCGCGTGCAAAAATCAGACCTATGGTATCTATCTCCTAGTCTTAGCTGTAGAGTTACTATAGGAGACAAAAGATCCTGCCATACTATTTCAGGCTTTACAATGGGTCATTTGGAATGAAATGCTGGATATAAACATAAAAAGCAAATAGGAAACTCATAAAGTGGAGATTACCGTTAGGTTTGACTTCATACATTCCCCTAAAATGTCCTTCCTAGCATCAAAGCAGAAAAGGAGAGAAAAGTGGAAAGAAGCATGAAGCAAGTAGGATGGAATGACTAAGGAAGTAGCCTTCAAAGGCCCCTTGAGTTGATGGCAGGGTTTACAGGAGCATTTGGCTCCTATTCTGAATTTCCCACCCACAATCTGCACGAAGGGCAGAGAGGAGCTTTTAAGACCAGTCTGCAGAGAAGAGCCTGCTCTGTAACCTGGAACGGATGGGGACTGGCAGTTCTGTTTTATGACACAAAGATTGTGCAGGCACCTTCCTACTGGCTGTATCTGCAGCATATTCTCTTTCATAGACATACTTATATGCATTTTTAGAAATTCAGAGAGAAGTTTCCCAGCCCCTTAAAATTTTTCAATCTCTGTATCTCTGATTCCAACCCTGTCTGTTCATTCCTACATAGAACTTTTTACATCCTATTATCAGCACAATACAGCAGAGAATGCAAAGACTGCCTTTAGATCTGCGGTACTTTAACTCTTTAGCCACAAAAAAAAAAAAAAAAAAGGAATAGCCATCTGCCTGCATGCACACACACACACAAAGACTRTAAGATCAACCATTTAAACTAATGCCCCTTTATATCTCTCTGGTACTGTAAAATGTCCTTATTTTACATACAAGGGAAATACCTACTTTATATTAATTTTAAGGACATCTTGGTACTGCCATAGAAGTGTAAAGGGAGCTTAGAGTCACAGAATCAGCCCAAAAGTACAAACTGCCATACTTCATTATACATTTTACAGATATTTGCATTACAAATAAGATTCCTTAATTACAGGTTGCATTCTAAATAAAACACCATCACAAATATTAAACTGCAGAGCTGCAAAGGCTGGCATATTGGAACAAGACCTTAAGGGTAGATTACGAGTGACAAACTTGTAACAAGCCACCGTTCTTTGACAGCAGGGTGCAGTGGATTCAGCACTTAAGTACTTCTCTCCAATTACAAAAAGAGCAGAGCTTTTATATTCCAGCATTTTGTCACCTGGTCCATAGTGCAGGAAAGCACTGATAGCCAAAGTAGCACCTTTCACCCCTACACGGTGGTAACTGTATTTTGGGACAACTGTATTTTTTTTTTTCAGAGAAAAAAAAAGGTAACTGCAAAATAAATAGCATTTCCTGCCTCATACATATTTAAGTTTGCAAAAATCATAGCCTTTTGTGTAAAATATATGCCTAGGAATCCTAATGGAAATCCCAATGCAAATACCTGGCAGCATCTGATCTAGGCTGATCAAGTCCAGTATCCTGTCTCCAGCTGTGACCAACATCGGTGGCCCAGAGCAGAGTACGGAAGCAGAGGAGGTTTGTAGTGACACCTCCTCAGAATGTTCTCCTAGCCCTGAACCTGTGGTTCAAGGACTTCCTGCACCAAAGCTTTACAGCTCCTGATTGATTTTCTTTCCATGAAGAGTCATTTTTGAACATATGCATATTTTTAGCAACATTACCTCCTATTTGAGGCTTCATTACATCCTGGGTGAAATGTCTTCCTGTGTTTTGAACCTGCTATTGCTATTTCCGCTTCATGCCCCTAGTTCTTGTACTAGCAGGAATGACAAACAGTGGCTCCCTGCTCACTTTAAATGATGCTCTGTTTCTGAAGACAATGCTGCAATAGATCATGGGAATGTACCGTATTTTAATAGGACACCTTTGACAGTGCGTGTGCTACAGCAAAGAGAAAGAGAATGAGGAATTATCACATTAAAGAATGGAGAATGGTTTTCATTATAATCCTATTCTCCTACTTCGGCRATTCTACAATAAAAGGGCACATTCAGGTTTAAATAGAACGTATATCAAGTGTAACTAGCAAAAAGCTATGTCCACTCCTAAGTGATTACTCTAAGGCAAGTCAATGGTACATTTTTTCTATATCTAATTGTGTTGATAGAAGACAGTTAAATTTGGGTGTCTCTTGGCATGGTATTTTTGTACCATGCTTTTTCAAGTATGCTTTTTAAAAAAAATTATAAATGGAAAAAGGAGCAACAGTTCCTTTTCAGACACCAGCCATACCATATAGCATATTGCATTCTACTAGTCTTGAATAAGAAATAGGCTGGAACAGTCATTTCCAGTGTCTGTCAAATAGAAACAAGTCCAGAAAAATGAGCCATTTTAAACTTTTAGGATAACTGCTTTTAGCACCAAGAACTTGCATTCACTATATACTGCTCCCCAACTATGTGTCATCTGGTATAAATCTGCTTATTAAGGATTTACAGAGCTCTGGAAAAGATAGTAAAAAGTCTGTGCCTGCATTCAGGCACTCTTCTAACCTTCCTACCTAACATCTTGCAAATTCAATATAATATTATTCAGCATTCTTATTTAAACAAAAAAGCATGATATTTTTACTGCAGTTTTTATTTTTTTCCTTTTTTGTTTAGATCTCCCCTTTTTATACCCTCTGCTTCAGCTTATATATCTAGATTTGTCTGATTAGTTTTTCACTGGTCTTTTATCACATTCAATTAATTTGATTCTCTAAAAGCCTCTCATTTGTGCAGAGGCTTTTCTTTCCCCACGTGCTTTTGCCCTTGCTGTACTCTCTCTGCCTGACTCCTCCCTTTCCTCACAGTCACTGTTTATCTCCAGAGAGTTTATCACAGTTTTCCCTCCCCTCTTTTGTAAGATGGTTTGATGGCAGAATGAGTATCTGGGAAGATGTGCCTTGAACTAAAATACATTTAACCTCTAAAAGCTGAAGTTAAAAAAATGTGGACAGATCTCCTGTGGTCATATTATCCACAGCCTAAATGGCAATACCACAAGCCCCAGTGGGGAAACYGGGTATACAATTACGTCTTAACTGCTAATGTGTACATGATACTGTCTCTGTTTTACTGCTTTTTGTACAGAGGGTTTCGTTTGTTTTAGAGAATAATTACTTTTTTCTTGAAATAACATAAAAAGTTACAGGTTTATTTTTCTTTCTTTTTGTACTGCATAGCTAAAATTGGTATCTCCGAAGGCCAYACCATACACAAGGAATTCACATGGATGAGTGTATAGATGTTTCAATTAACATATGTATATGTTGGATTTATACATACACTGGAACACACACATAGGCACTTTTTACTGTAAACATCCTTGATTTCAATGACTTTCAAAGGACTTTTCTCATCTGACATGTTCCTATTAAAAGTTTTACACAGATACATATAACTGCTGCTGTGCTCAGCTGGGGCAGGGCAGAAAACTTTAGAATCTCACAGCTTGTATAAATCTTGAAGTATTCATTCATTTTATAATTTGCAGCATGTAAAAAAAATCAAATACCTAGTCCAACAGTACTGACATTTTCATTTCATTGCAAGTTAGCATGTACTAGCCATGTACTAGACAGCATCATCTTATGCTGAACAAACATCAGAGCATGAAACATTACCTTCCCTGGAAAAATTTTATGTCTAAGGGAGAGATGTGTCAAATTGCCAAATGAAATGAAGAGCCCAAATCCAATATATTCAATTTGTGATCTTAGCTTTGTTGGAGATTTTTAGAAGTCAGCATAGGAAAAAAAAAAGGAGAAAGGCAATGAATATGACAGTTTTACAAGTGAGGAACAGTGAGTTTAAACATTTTGCATCACTTTTGGAATCTGAGCATTGACCTTGATTCTCCTGAGGCCCTATGCACTGCGTTGCCCACACCAGCAMCTTGCCATGTTTTCACATTCACTATGTCTTGTATGAAACACTCTTTAAATCTTGAAGCCCTAGGCATCCCACTTACATTTTCACTGTTAACGTCTGTCTCACTGGGGCAGCCAAAGAGTTCCCGTCTCAGCAAGTTCCCATCATATTCTAGAAATGTCAGGTAGAGGTTGCGGAAAAACTCCACATGCTTGTTTTTCACTCTCAGCTTCTTTGGCGAGTTCCAGTGAATCACCTCAGAGGAAGAAAAGAGAAAACAGACCTGCGGTTAGACTACAGATTTGCTTTATTCACTGGCTTTATGTGCATGCAGTTTACTGTCCTCTTAAGAAAAAAAACCCCACTATGCAGATACTTCTTTCAGTCTTTTAATAAGGAATACTTTGCTGCATCGTTCAGATGTAACTGCATACTGTATAAATGATGTATTTTACACTCCTGCATAGAATAACTTGTACATTTGCCTTGGTGTATTCTCCTAGTTCGTGATGCAGCCSCTCATAAATGTTGCCATAACTTTAATCCTGGCCTGAGTGGTTATAGACACTACTGACCGGAGTGGCAGTATGAGGGAGAAGGGAAGGCTGATATTAAACATTAACCTCAGATATCCATGTGACTGTTTCGGCTAATGATTCACTGTTTCAGGCCAGGTAGATTTTCCTCTTGTTAGGTATTGAGAAGGAAAAAAGCCTCAAATAAATTTCTGTATTGATTTACCCCCCCCGTCAAAAAGGGATGAATTTAATCTGACTCCCTTTTCGCCATTACTTTGTTTAAACAAGGCTGATCTCAGTCGCATTGCACAACATAGCAATACAGTACAATGCTTCACCCTTTGAATTCCTATTTCAAGCAGGTATTTAGCCTCTGCTAATGGGAGGTAACTCTCACACTCGCCTAGATTTGACTCTAATGCTGATATAAAGGGCCTGATTCTCATTTACATCAAGGCAACTTTTCACTGCTTTCTGACAAAGTGAACAAGAAGGGAGCCACAAGGAAAATCTAGGAGGGAATCAAAAGTGGCTTGTAGGAATGATTTCCTTTTTTAGAGGAAATATTTTTGGCATTAAAAAAAATGCTTTACATCCAGTTTTATTGTAAGTTCTCAAGAGATTAGAGAAAAAAAAGAGAAAAAAAATCCACTGGGAATACTTCCAAGCTAGGTGCTCTGGAGAGGTTCTCTGAATCCATTTATCTGTGTAAAGGTGACATGTCAGTCACACACAGCCACAGACCTCTTTGCCACCAAGCTGTACTACCAGCTGCTGATACATCCCTCCCTAGGATTTCACTACTGAAGCTACGGGGATTTCAGAAAACCATACAGGCAGTTAGAGAAAAGCAACTATAGGGAGTTCTGGATCACTTTGGAAGTAAGTAAATCACTTTTTCCAATCAAAGGAGCACTTCACATCCAGACCAGGAAGCAGATACACACCATACAAATCTCAGAGATTACTTGTAATAAGTATATTTGGTACAGATGTTTTGCATAGATGAAGCTACATCCTTTGCTGATTTTACATTTATCTGCATATTCATATCTATAGCTTGAATGTGAAATAACACATTGCTTCAATATGTGTTGAAAAATGAGAAAAAAAGAAAGAAGCTTTAGTTAGCATTGCTGGAATGGGATATAAACTCAACACATTTCCTGCACTGAAAAAATGGATCTTTAAATCTCACTTCTCTGAAAACAACTTGATGTGTTTCATCTGTTACATTAAACTGCAGCAAAAGAGAAAAAAAATGACTGAATTCTACCTCATGCAAACAGGCAAACATAAATAGTAGCCTAGTGCTAAAGGAATCTAAAGGGTTCTAAAGGGTACTGGTGCACATTTTTTTTCCCCTAATAGRCACAGAATGAGAATTGCTGATGCGTTGGTTGCTAGTATGTCTTTAAGAGAGGAGATCAGTGTACACAGACAAACTGGAAAATGGGAACAAAAAAAAAAAAATCATTTCTGTGCAAAATTTTTATCTGCTAGTCCTCCATGTGCACTTCCTTCCAGAAGTCTTCATGAGCATCCTAACTCTCTGGTGGGCACTCTGTCTACTCACACAAATAACCTTCAGCACTGAAATGTTTAATGATCATAAACTCCAACACTGTGACAGGACAGGATTCCCAACTCTGAAAGGATTTCCCATCAACATATACTATGTCACATCACAGCTGAGTAGTGGTTGATGTCTCTGCTCAGTTGTGTGGGTGATGTCAAGTCCAGACAACTGCAGTTGTATGTGTAGAGTCTATTTGCTGCTGTGCTTCAAAATGTTGTTCTGTGAGTAAAAGCTGGTAAGCATCAAGGGTCTAGCTGGTGGTTGAGATCTGATCAGATTTGAAACGTGTCAGGTTGCTGTACGTGTACAGATGTCAGGGGAGCACGCAGTCAACTGAAGAAAGCTGAACGGAGCTGATGACTGTCTAAAAAAGTTGKKTTTTTTTTAATCAAGAAGAACAGCACATGTCAATGCAGCTAAAGAACAGAAAGGAAGTAAGAAACCATCTGGATGACCTGAGGTAGAAAAAACACAAAACAGGTCTAGTGAAAGAGCAGCCTGTTTTTTAAATGTAGCATGATTAGAGAAATATTATGTGATACATGAAAGCGCAAAGAAGAACAGTAGATTTCTCCAGGCAAAGACTCTTAACCATCAGTATATAGCACTACATCCATAAACGTTTTTTTTTTTTTTTCTCTCTCTCTCTCTCCTGTCAGCCCATGAATTCACTTTGGGTTTTGTTTGCATCTGTCTGATTTGGTTTATTGCACTAAGAGCAACACTTGGAGCTGCACAGGCCAACAAGTCCTTGTGTGAACTGTGATGGGCATCAGTCAGGTACATAAAAACAGTCAGTTGCACAGTAAGGCCATAGCCWAGGCCATTATGTGACTATTAATACATTCACTATGGACAACACTGAATTGCTTGGGGAAAAGATAAATTACCTGGAAAAAAAGACTGTAGAAATTAGCAAAAAAACTTCCCACTAAAAAAAAACCCAAAAAACTCAATGTCTGCTTTGTTTATAGCCTGACAAACTGTTCTCCCAAAACTGCAATGAGRAAGTGAAACTAGAATTTAAAATCTTATTTCTGTAATATCCCTTTTTCAAGATCAAACGTAATACTGCATCATTTTCCCTCTTAATTCCTGAGCTATTGCAAAGCTCTGGTGGCTGGCAGGGAAAATTGCAGTGCTGTTGTCTGGACAGACATGGTGCTATCCTTCAGCCTGTCCCACAGACCCTTCCCACGCTTGATCAAGACCTCCTGAGAACTGAGGAAATTATCCTCCTAAATCTTCATTTAGCAATTTAAGTACCAAAAGATCAGAACATAAAATTCCACAGCTATTTAACACTTGGTTAGTTGTCATTAAGCAACTTGGCACTATCTACATTTCTGTTAACACTACCCTAGTTAATCAGCAGCCGTTACCGCTCACTGATTAGGCTCAGTCATCCTCCTGGAATATTTCCATGTATTTTGTGACCTAGTGAAACCGGCTATACCAAACTGATAGTTCCTATTTATTCACCAGCTAAATCACTCAAATCATGATGCAACTGGAGCCTTATAAACTGGCAGTGGCATCTGAGATGGAAGGCTACACCAGGATGYTGGTAGAATATGAGAGAGCTCTAAGGTTGGTCACCTACCCAGTCCTCTGCTGAAAACAAAAAATCCCAGAAAGTCTTGCAGGTTTTCAGCTGCRTTGCCCTCCTTGAGAACATTAATTATTTCAAACCTCAAGTCCAAACCACTAAAYTATAAGCTTTGATGTCTTATTTCTATGGGTACCCTTCTCACCACCCTAAAGGGCCTTCTCTCTCCACAAGAAATATTTAGTCAAATGCTTCCTTCTCCACCATCTTTCTTTTTTTTCTCTAGACAGATATTGGGAATTTTTCATTGTTTCAGCCCTTAAGAAAACAGAGAATCCACCTGTGGCTCTCTTTCTACTATCTACTTTACAAGCTGAAGGCATAAAAAGTAAAAATAAATTAACAATAAAGAGTTTCATTTTTACAAAGCTCTTAATTAACCCTATGAGCACTCTAAAACTTAGATAAAGAAATTAAAGCAATATTTTATATATGGAGAGCTATTCCTATTTAAAAGCTAGGCTCCTTTGTTCTTACATAGGCCAACAGGAATTTCTCACTGAAATCAAGAGGAGTAAAATGCTCAGTAAATCTGCATATAATTTATGTCACTTTAATATGATCTCAATAGTCTTTCTTTTAGACCTGCTATGGTTGAAAAGTTTGGTTTAAATATCATCAAGAAAGCACTACATTCATGTCTTCTAGTATCTCAACCAGAGATGCTTAGAAATTCTCCTTTCAAACTATGCTTTGTCAGATAAAACTTGCTGAATTAAAAAAAAAAATCTCTTAAAAGGTCAAATATTTCACAAAAATCTTATCATGGAGACTTTATACCTCCAGTGTGCTACTTCTGACATAGGCGAGCGGAGAAGACTCATGTTGGAGTAGCCAGCAATTCGGAGGTAATAGACACTGCTTCTGGATGCAGAATGTGGACGCTGCCTTGCCCGATTTGGTGACCATGATCCCAGTGAGTACTCTGCTCCTTTGCTTTTGCCCATGATGGCTAAAGATCACTATCTCTGCCAATTTTTCTACTAAAGTTCTTAATTTGTTCTCAGAGGAGTTGCAGCTCTCCTTTCAACCCCCACACAAATGTTTAATGYGAGACCTCCATAAATTGATTTTCGATGGTCTATTCCCACTAAAAACACCTCTGTAATACCAAGGCACTCCCTTCTTGGCAGAGCAGCTGAAACACTACATTCAAGGGAGGGTTATGCTTATCCCTCTTGGGCCCTTACTCCTCTCAATGAAGTTCTTCCTTGGGCAGCATTAAAAGGTGCAAGGCTGCAGAGTGCCAGAACTGTTGCAGATCACGGCTGAGGTGCTTGGACAGAAGGGGKTGGCTCAGGAACTGGAATAGAAAGAGGTGTGAAAGGTCATGTTTGAGGAAGACCTGAAATGATTTTGGTTATGGACAAGTAGTATAAACTTCTTGTTACTACTACTTTTTGTGGCCAKCTCATAAGTTTGTTCTAGTGTGGAAGAGGCTCCCCAGGAAAGCACAATGAATGAAAGATTTCCCTTTCCAAAATTGTTTTATAAGGCTAATTATCTATCTGCTAATTTAACCTAAGTAGTTCAAAGCCAACTTAAGMAGCAATCAATGAGATTTCAAGCATTTATGATTTCAAGCATTTATTTATTTTGAGGAGTAAATTCTAATAATTTGATATACTCCCAGGGAAAAATCCAGGATCCCTGTTTGTGACTGAATTGTCAGATTCTCTCTGTGTAAGTAGCATCTGTATCCTTGACAACCACACTTTTCTTCARCACTGACTCATTCAGTGAGGTCATGATTCATTGTTAGAGGCATCACAACTCATTACTCTCTTTCATAGGATTTTCCTGCCATTTGGTTTGTGCCAAACCACAGTAATTGAGATTTCATCCCATACAAGWACAAACTGTTAACCAGAAAGGAAAGTAAGCAGGGCCTAAACCAGCAAAGGTAACATTTAGATGAACCTCAGTTCCAGAGAGATCCCCAAAGGCTTCAAATGTTGGTAAGACATGGTCCTGAACACTYGTCTACTCACACTGTGGTCTGCTGGGGACCATGTAAGCAGCTGAGATAAATGAGTTCTGATAGGCAGTGGATGCCTTGAGAGAATGACTATAAGCACTTGTGCATCCTCTGCACAGCCTTCAATAGTAATTCCCAAGAGCTTCTTCAAGGTGTAACAAATACTATGCACAACCAAGCACCTCTGTCCTTCAGAGGCTGCAAGTAGCTCCCCTAGCAAGAAGAATTAAAGGGCATCTGTTCCCACTTGCTCTCTATTAAAATYGTTCACTTGCTCTCTATTAAAATTGTTCAGTTCAAGAGATTCTTGACTGATGTGAAACACTGGTAAAACAGGTGACCTCAGGTGGGGGAAAGGAAGACTCCTGTCTGTGCAATTGTTTATAAGAGTAATGGCTTCATATGACACATAGAGCAGAACAAAACTGGAGTCTAGTTGTCTACCCTGTGGCTTCCAGCCCTATAGTTTACAAGACATGAGCTACATAAGCGTTTAGATAAGCAGTATTATTAAAGTACTTTTATTCTGATGTTGCTTTACAGGGATTTAAAGCTAAGAGGCACAGCTACMTAACACTCGATTATATATAAATACTATCTCTTATACCTGCTCTGCAAGAGCTCCATATACATGTCTTCCCACAATCAARTGGGACAATCGCATGTGATGCTCAGCTGGAACAAGCAAGCAGAGCAGAGTTCAGCACAACCATGTCAGCCTCTAACAGATGACAACACAAATATTGTTAAAGTTGATACGGATGCATCATAATGAGGACTAATTAACTAACAAGGACCAAATGGAAGGATAAGAAGCCTCTTCAGGTGATACAAAATATTCAAGATCCACAAGGGCCTCTAAAAATCATACTTGCTATCTCATAAACAAAGCAAAGCAGGTTAAGTTTACTTGAATGACAGCCAACCACGGGGTTTCTCTAAGTTTATTTGACATAATGTCATGTATAAAAGACAACAAATCCTCAGATCTCATGGATTTTGAGAGCAAATGGAATTAAATCAGAATTCTTTCCATCTGATGTGGGAAATAGTCTGATTTGACTTGAGGAATATTCRGCTAGACCAAGTTCAGCATGGAATTTAAACCTCTTCTTCCCTTTCCTTCTTTCCTATGCCATCCTTCTTAATCCTACAGTATAAACTTCACAATCTGTCYTTCTCCCCTTCTTGCCCTGGAGGGTTCTCCTACCTAATTTTTTAGCCCAGTCTTACTATGAAATACAGGATGTGCCAAAAAACATTATTCCACAGCATCTATATTATGCCATGAAAACTTAGTGATTAAGAAATATATTTTCAAACTTGGACTAACTACATCTGCTGCTTAGTTGTAAGGAGCACACACCAAAACAATGTAATTCCTTTTTACAATTARAAGTTTTCTAATGTTCATAATAGATTTTCACAAATTTGATATTTCTCATTAAAACACAAAACAACCCACTCAGKGCTGCCTAAGGGCCATCTTTAAATGATGAATATGGCCAGAGTGTCACTGAAGTCAGTGGGACTTATTTGCACTAGATAAAGCTCTGCTCCCTTTCCAAAGGGAGAAATAAGTCCAATTCAATGGAGTACTTTTGGGATATGCCTAATATTAGTGTTGTGATTACGTCCAGTGTAGCTGAAGAAATTGCTTGCCTGTCTGTAGGTTAGGCATCTTACTCCAGAGAACCTGTGGAAGATAYTCTGCATCTCTGTCATTCCTCATTGCCTGTACTGTAATGATTTTGAGAGTGTGATACAGTATAATCAGTAACCAAACCTAAGTCATACTGGTAAACATAAAATTGACAGTGAAAATAGAAGATTCCATTTTTATTTAGCAATTTTCATTATATGAATATCAGTAGGGTTAATTATGTGCCAGGTGTCCCACATCTGGGGGGGATTAGTCAATTTGTTCACTGGAGCCCAGTTAGAGTGATGTGGTCACTTAGTCATTAGAGGGCTACTCTGGGATGGATGAACTGAACCTCTTCCCAGCACCATTGATGGAACTGAACAGGAACATGATTTAATTGCCAAAATAAAAACATGCAGCAACATTTAAGGCACTTTAGGGTAACTTGCCTGCTTATAAACTGCCACAGCAAAAGGTTATGGAACTCCCACAGATCCGAGCTGTATCTGATTGCCCCATGTACATGCATCTGATAGCCTATGTGACTTGAAATGTGTAGGGGTAACTGAATCAAGCCCTAGATCCCTAATGATTAGCTTCAATATTTTGTTCTTATTTAAGTGCAGGTGTCCTCATCTGACAGTGAACCCCACTGTGACTATCTCAGCTGATTATACAAATTAATGTAAACTCATAATTCACCGAAAAAAATGCCATAACATCTCCCAGATAAAAGGTGGTGTATTTTTTTAAAATTCATCTTTCAGAAAACATTTTTGCTGCTACTAAAAATCTCTCTCTTCCTTTGCTTCAGGCCTGACAGCTGCTCTCATGCATGATTCTTAATATGAGCACATAACAAAATGCTGGTAGAGATTTTAATTCTTAAAGCATCAAGGTCATATCTTTTAAGTTCCTACATGGATCTTGCCCTGCAAGTATCTATTGCAAAATGTTTACTGAGATATTTAATTAAAAAAAAGAGCTATCTTTTGTGGACTATGTCTGAACCATATKTCTGAAAGTGAAGCTTTTGGAACTGGTAGTGCGCTGAGGGTGATTATTTTTCTTTAGTCATGATGAACCATGACTCTGACTGACTCATGATGAACCATGAAGTCATGACTTCAACCATTGCTTTACAAGTGTTATAAGGAAAACTTAGATTGCCTAAGAGCTGGCTTCATCTTACACCTTCCTGTGCATCAAAGTGCTCAAAAACAAAGTAATATCTGTATCTCCTACCTAGATGTCTTTATAAATTTTATGTGACAGTTTTCTTCCTGTTTAAGAGATTCTTTCTATTACAGTAGTCTTGCGTTTTCTGTCCCAAAGGATATCACCCAGCCAACCTTCTGTAAAACATACCTTCAGATCAGACACATCTCTGTAGCACTGCTCAGAACGGGTGTGGTCAGATAGCTGCACATTCCAGAAACATGGAAGCTGATAGACAAGGAAGGGATTTTGTTTGATGACTGCATTGAAGATATCCTAGTGGACAAAACAGAGAAACATTGATTTCACAGTGAGGTGACCTCAGAACCTCTAAACTGACTGTCCTCCTCTGTCACAGGGAAAGGAGCAAACTGAAYTCCGCAAATCTTGCTTCAAAATCCTGTTTCCCTGAGAGGTGTTACCRCTCTAAAGGGTGATATATGGAGCTGAATCAGATGCACAAGTTCTTTTGACACACAGAGCTAAGGAAATACAGCTTAGTTTTCAAAATGTGCATCTTGTACTGCTGGTAAGAAACAYGGTTCCTTTTCTAGCCATCAGGAAGAATAATATGCAGTAGATTACAAAATATCTCCTGTTAGTAAGTACTGCATCACTTCTCAGTAAAGGAGATGGAAAGCAATCCTAGCAGTTGAACTGCTTCAGTATGAATTACTACGTGGGATTTGAGCTAGAATTTTATKGTTGCAACAAGTATTTTAGGCATTTTGTGGAAAAAGCAAGTAAGATAGATGTGCTTATACTATAAGGGCCAGAACGTACAGAACTCTGCCTCTCCATGTAACCAGTCATTAAGGACTGTATCTAAAATATATTGAAGTTGCAAGAAGTTTCATGAACTTCATAATTTTTGGATCAGACTGCAAGGGTACTGTACATAGATGGGTACAATGAGCTCCATGCTTGCTTCACAATGGCTGGTCATGAGCCAGATGCTAGCTCTGAGACATGAAAATATCTAAACATGATTCTGTATTTGAGCTAGTATGCTTATGCTGCTAAGCAAGGCTCTCTGGTTCAGGCCCAGTACTATATTAATAGGGCTTCTAAATTAAAAATGGATAGCTGGTAGGAAGCACATGGCAAGTAAACATGCATTTCTCTCTACACACGTACTGTTTTCCACTCAGCCTGTTTCTCATTTGTGGCAGGGCAGAAGAAAAAATGCTGCTATCTTGTAGCATTGCTGCAAGAGCAACGCTGCTCTTGTAGCAAAGCACACATAAGACAGGGTGGAGTCATCGGTCAKGGACAGCAAAGAAAGATCTAAAGAAACTGAACCGCAATCAGCCTAGACAAAAACAGTGTATTTGGACTTCTGARATCTGGAGGATTTTACATGAAAGAAAGAATTAAAAAATACTAGTTGTCTATCTTATGAACCATCTACAGAAGAGGTAAAAATGCCAACACAGTAMGATAAATCTCATTAATAAATTTCCATTTATCTCTGCCACACCTTCCCCAGAACAGTGATACAGTAATTGGTGATTACAAGCACAGTATTTCATCCCTTCAACTACCTCTCATCTTCTTTCCTTTTCCTGTCTTTCTCAATCCATGGATTGAATGCCACTGCTTCACCATGCCCTACTGACCTGGTCAGCCAGTGAAGTGGACAGCATGCTCATTAACTCCCTCTCTGCTGTAAGTCTCCACATCTGCTCCCATTTCATCTTCCGTAGCTTATCCAGAAGCAGCAGGATAACCCCTAAAAGAAAACACAGCATAGAGAACAAGAGAAGCTGTTACGTCCCATGTCAGTCAATACCCTTCCTGTCTACATGCTGACTTACAGCAATTAAAACAAGAACAAGAACAAGAACCAAGACTGAGCAGTAGACACCACAGCTCTTGCTTTATGTGAGTACAGRCATTTGCTTGAAACTAGAATAAAGACTTCAGTGACTCTTCAGTTCGCATACCCTAATAAATCCAAATAAACAGCAAGGAGAAAATTTATATTGTCAGAATACAATGAAGAACTGGAATCTCATTGTAGTAGGGGTTGTTCAAACATAATTCACCTCCCCAAATGAGTCTCAACAGAAATAAGGAAAGAAAGCAACTCYAGAATATATCCTGGATATAAAGTTTTCACTACACCACTAGAATAAAGCTTTCCTAAATCCATGAGGCTGCAGGAGAAAGGAGAGTTAGCAGACAGACACCAGCCTACATACACTTATGAAAGGAACAATCTATACTATAAGACTTGCAAAAGAGGGAATAGAGAAGGAACTGAAGAACYRAGTAATGGAAGGACATACCAGTACTTGTAGCAGTTTCCTTAAYTGAGAAAACCTGATTTCATTAAGACACGATTAGCATGTGGATTAATTCTTACGAAATAAACCAGTACAGCTGATTCGCATACTGGAAGTTAATTTCATGCTAGCATTATCACTCTAAAGATAATTAGACAATCTCCTACAGGAAAGATAGAATGAACCTCTTTGCTCTCAGAAGCAACCCTCACAACATATTTTGAGAAATGATGTGCTCTGAGAAGCAATTCTGACAAATCACAGTCTACTAAGAAAAGCATAGGGACAGTTCTGATTTGGATGATGGGAGTTGCTAGTATGGGTCCATTTCTGCCATGTTCCCATTGACTAGAGATCTGTTTCTTGCAAAATCCTGCTGTTTTAATGAGTTTATCTCTAAACAGCACTGGGGACTATGCTGATATAATGAGAATTACATCCATGTAAAACGTTTTACTCAATGTAGATGTATGGGAGGTGAAATCTGACACTTTCTGTAACTAGATAGGAAGATACTTCAGCCCRTATTCAACCTAATAAGAAGTTAATCATCTAACAAAGCTTACTGAAATCCCTGAAACTTTTCTGATCGAGCCATCCTGGTAAACAATGCTGTTTACCAGCTTTTTGAYGGTGCCTATGATTACAGCAGCAATTGCTAATAGAGGAGGATCCTCGGGAAAGGAAGCTACACCTGAAGGCGGAAATCGGATAGCYCAGCATACACTGTTATTCTTTGGCTGTTTCGTGTTTAGACAGAATCCCTTGTGTGGAGGAAGGGAAAACAGCAGAAGCAATGAGCTGGATTGAAGTATCAGCAAAACCTTTCCTACAGTGTCTCACAATATCTTCTTTGAAAAATTAATTCCGAAGGACTTAGATAAGAGCACTATCATGGGAAATGTGTGCTAGCAGGAGGTCCATAAACAAAGAGTGCTGATAAACAGCACCATAGCAGGTTGACAGGAGGTACCTAGCAGGATCAATGAGAGATGCCGAGTTGCTTCACATCTTCATTAGTATTAGAGGGAGTAAACAGAATAGTAATGACATCTGTAAGTGACATTAAACCAGAGGTCTTGTAACAAAAAAATCCTGACAACTGTACAGAAATGTAACAGCTACCCAGAGGAATATGAAAAGCTCAAAAGCATGCAATGGGAAAAGCTGCCCAAGGTGGGCCTGAGATAATAAAAGTAATGAGAAGAAGAAAGGAAACATAGTCTGATCAGTCAGGAAAAATTTAAATAAATCCTTTGTGGTAAGATGACCTAAGAATGGCAGATAAAATGTTTGATGTCATAAACTTTTAAAAAATAGACTACAAAAAGATTAGCAAATGTAGCAAATATATAAAGATGGGCCAATCCTGCATGGGTGGGGACACAACGAGGGAGGTTCTAGGTCAGTTCTACCTTCAGTTTATGTCACTTGGCAAATTCCATTCTACTAAAACCTTAAACTGCCATGAAAACCTCTTCTGGCAGTGATTTTTGGCCTGTATTAATTGTGTTTTCTGTTTTAGCCCATCTGGTTCCCAAGGATGCTGGAACCTTTACTGGGAGGATCCCCTTTCATTTTCAGTGAACCTTTCTGCTTCCAGCTGTTGTATTGGAAAAGGACACACTGTCACAATAGCCTGTAAAGTGTTTTTTTGCCAGTGTGTTTGTCTCCTCTCCAGCATATGTAAATCTTTAGTGGAATGGGTGGTGTGTTTACATTAGTTTCTGAAAGCACATTATCTGAAATTCTAGATCAATATGAAGCAGATTCCCTCTACTGAGGRGATGAATTAGGTGGGATAACCTCCTTCCTGGCAGTGGTTTATTTCCAGTTGCAWGAATTGTCAGCTTTATTTCAGCAGCATGCTGTAACTGAGGACATTATCTTTAACTCCCGCCGCCCAAGAAAAAAAAAAGAATAAAGGCCAGATTCAGTTAACTCTAGCGTAACAGTTTTTATAGTTTATAGACAATAAAATATTTTTCTTAATAAATTTTCTTTAAGTCTCCAATATGAGGAGGAAAAAGGGGAGTTATTTTTATATGTGCAATATTCTTCAGGTTTTGTGTCCCACTCTTGTGCTAGCAGCAGATTATGGCTGTTAAAGAGATTATGATATACTGAGGGGCTATCATGGTAGCAGCAGAAAACTGGAATATGTGCCAAAAAAGAAGTTGTTTTGAATTATGATAAACAGTAGCTGTTGAAAACACTTTAAGTTTTAAATGTTCTGTTGTCAAGATTAGCTTAGATATGTTTCTATTTTAATTGACCTATAGGCTTGGGTGTAAAATTTTGGTCTAATTTCTGTTCACATTCACACACTGTGGAATTCTAACTGACTGCTGCTGAAAAATATGTAAGAGAATTTTTTAAAGAGGTTTAAATATTTACTCAGTAGTATAAGACATCCATACTAAGAGTAAACTTTAATACTATCACCTAATTAATATTATTTAGTGCAAAAGAAAAGCAAAAGCAGGTAGTTTGAAAACTCTCAAATTACTCATGCACAGATAAAAGTACTTTTTTGTTTGTTTGTTTGAAGAATAGAGCATTTATTTATACTCTTTTATTGCTCTGTTACCAAAATCAAAGATAACAAACGCTGCAGTTTTCTGCAACCCTGACCTAACTCCAGTCTGCATAATTAGTGTTCAAGCAGAATGCCTGGAACCAGAGAAGGGAAATATTTAACCCAAAAGCCCCTTCCTCAAAGTTATATTGACTGAAATCTCAAACTAAACACAAGATGAAATACAGATGAACATAAGGGGAAAAGAACTTACCCTCAGCTGCTGTGCTGGGGGAGGAAGAGTTTGCAGAAAAAAAAATTATCAAAGCAATCTTTTATGAACATCTGGCCCCAGGCACTGAGACTGCTCCTCCTTTGCTGAGAGCAGCACTTTCCTTCCCTAACCTACCTGAGGGAAACAAAAGGGAAATTTGGCAGGAAATAAACAGTAAGAGAAAACTGGGAACCTCAATGTCTCATGGGCATTAAATGGCTTATGATCAGCCATAGAACACCCTATTTTCCTACTCTTGATCAACTGGTTCAGGCATATATGAAGTTATGTGTATCTTGAGGGGCTCTTGGGGGAACAAACAAAAACAAAACTCTGGCTAAGAAGGAGTTTTCTTTATCTGACTCGATATCTTCTGTATGTCTCTTCCTTCACATTTTACTACTAAAGATGTAGATCATACAGTTTAGTTTTACCTGAATGCCATTTTCTCCCCTTCCTTGATGAGCTTTGGTAGCTTGAACTACCAAAATTATAGGGATTCTAAATTGCTATAACAAACAAATCAAAAAAGAATTTCTCTAAAAACACAATTCCAGGAAACAAAAAAGAGGGGAATGTGTTGAACAGATTAGACAAAATATGGTAAATACATTGCATAACATATTTTTCCTAAAATATCTTGTTTTAGAAATACTGCAATTCTTTCGCGCATTTTAAAATATAACTTGGAGGGTTGGACTAGATGATCTCTAAAGATCCCTCCCAACCTCAACCATTCTGTGATTCTGTGACTTACTCTAAAACTGTATTTCTCACTTTGAATATAAATTTAAAAGTTTATTGAAAATGGTTATATCACTAGAAAAGGAAAAAATATTTCATCCTAGGTCTAATAAAATTTTGGAATCACCTGAATCACTTGAATTCTTCCTTTTCTGTCCTATTTTGATTCAATCATTTTTTTTTTCACTCTCCAAAGTTGCAATTAAGCAATGGTTTCAGGAGACGTTTGAGGACATCTCAGTAGAACAGTGGAAGTCATTTTTTTTCTTCATTGCTTCAGAACCAAGTATTTTATTAGATTATTTCCCAATAGTAAATTGAAAGTTTTCAGCAAAATCAGCAGTTTTCCTTGGAATGTTATCAGGCAGCATCTTTGTAATACAGATTATGGTTTTTACTGAAATGCACAGCAGAATATATAGCACAATAGGAAATAATAAACAGAATTTTTAGAAGGAAGAGAATCACAGACATTACAGTGAAACTGGACAAGCTTTCAAACTCAATTAAGGTATTAGAGTGTCCATCTTAAGGKCCATTCTGAAAAAATACTTAGCACTGTGGGTGCAGGTACTAAGAGCCATTAACTGTAAGCACTTCTATTATCCTTACTTTCAGGTGGGGAAAAATGCCTGGGTGAGGTGCTTAGGCAATGCCTTATTAACTGAACAGCATCTCAGAGTCAGTCCCTTTTAGGATGTTATACCATTCTTCTCACATCTGCACCTAAACAGCGAATCACCTAAACAGCAAGCAAATTTCTTCATAGTACTTGATAAAGATAGGTAGGACACACTTGCGAATATTTTTTAAAGCAATAATCAGCTTTAAAAAATCAGTGGGATTTTATAATACCTAACAAGCATACCAGAAACTATACACCAGACTACTGAGTCTTATATGCTGTA